ACTAAGAAATGTTAAACACCGTTAATTTTTATTTGCAATGATTTTTATCTAGATAACCTCAAATGTTATCTAGATTTTTTATTATATACATAATATTTATTATACGTTGACATAAAATAAATATATGTAAAATATACATTTTACTAAGAAATGTTAAACACCGTTAATTTTTATTTGCAATTATTTTTATCTAGATAACCTCAAATGTTATCTAGATTTTTTATTATATACATAATATCTACTATACGTTGACATAAAATAAATATATATTTATTATATTTTTTTATTTTAAGGGAGTCAACATATAGTAAATATACATAAAATAAAAATAAATTTTGTGTATATAATAAAAAAATCTAGATAACATTTGAAGTTATCTAGATAACAATCATTACAAATAAAAATTAACGGTGTTTAACATTTCTTAGTAAATGTATATTTTACATATAGTAAATAGATAAATAGCAAATAAATTCTATGTTCGGTAAACAAGAAAATAAATGGAACAGATATTTTGTCAGATCTTAGATTTCTGTTAAAAATTAAAATGTATTTAGTGTTATGACTAAAAGTGCACCACTTTGTTAAAGTAAATGGACTATTAGTGCTCTATGTGGAAGAATATATATGACTTTGAGTCTAAAACTAAAAATAATGTATGATTTTGGGCTTTTCCTCGGACTAACAAGAAAACTCCCCCTTTCCTCTCCTCCTCCTCATTTTCATAATCAGCCATAAAAGCAATAACCAGCGCTGCATCGATCATTATCAGCTGTTCAGCCACCAGCAAGGCAACCAAAACAACGTCTACGATCGACCTCTCTGCTACATCCTCCAGCAAAGACCACCATCTCATCACCTTGCATCCTCACGGTAAACTATAATAATATCATAAGTACACTACCATTTCCCACCAAGGGCGCCTCTAGGCCTAGGGTAAGGCACCTGTACTACTATATTATTATTATTATTATTATTATTATTATATATTTCATCTGTTCCAATTTATGTGAACTTGTTTGATTGTACACGAAATTTAAGAAAAAATGAAGATTTTTGGAATTTGTGGTCCTAAACAAATCAAAAAGGGGCCCAAAGTATTTGTGTGGTTATAAAAGCTTCTCATTAAGGATAGAATTGTAAGTTTAACCAAAATTGTTTCCAAATTTAGAAAGGGATCATTCTTTTTAGAACGGACTAAAAAAAAAAATAGGTTCACATAAACTGAAACGGATGGAGTAATATATAATAATGATTATTAAAAGATTTCAAATCTTAATATTCTTTTAAATTTGGTAAAGTTAGGATATTGAGTGAATTAATTACAATAAATTTTTTCTCGCATTAACCTAAATAAATATGTATTTACGTTCTCATCATTTTATTTTTCTTCCCCCTATGTATAGTCTTTGTTATGTTTCTCACGATTTCACTTTCTACTTTCAACTTAGATTCGCTAAATTAGCTAAAAAACAATTATCAAAGTTAATTGATCCATACATCATAAAGTAAATTTTTTTGTGTCTCATCTTTTTTAACTAAGAAATCCCTTAGGCAATGATGTGATTCTTCGAGTTAACAAAAAATCAACTGACCAGGATTAAGATCTTGAAACGAAAACGTAGTTTAAGGGCTTGTTTTAAGAAACAATGTATCTCACGTTTTAATTAGGACTCGAAATATGATGATTCAAAAACGAGGTGAAAGATGACAATCAGAACTATAAGAAAGACTATTTACTCGTTTAAAACAAGTAAATATTGGTGTTGTACCGGTTCAAGGAAAGTTCTGATTCTAGGATATCAAACTAACGAATTTAGATCAAGAAACGTGTTCTTGAATGAAAAATTCCTAAAGTCACCACTTGGAATCAACTAACGTGATAAAGAAACACCACACGTAATTAAAAAGAAGATAAAGACTATCACCACCTTGCTTGGAACCAAAAACAAGGACAAAGAAGACAAAATAGAGAAAAATACTCTATTGCAAAATAGAGCAAACCTCCAAAAACTTGAATTTTTTTCTACAAGGCAAGAGAACCATTTACATAGGCCTAGAGTCTCTTCTTTCATGACTACAATTCCTATTCTAATAAGAAAATAAAATAATTAAAGACAAGAAAAGTAAAATCCCTATTTCTACAAGGAAAAGAAACTAGAATCCTACTAAAAGGAAAATCTTATTCTAAAAGGAATAAAATAAATCATATTTTAAGAAGGAAAGAATCTTGGCTTCTTGAAATCAATCTTGAGCTTCTTGGACTTCTTGCGCTTCTTGAAAATAAGTCCATATGTTTGGATTTGAGTTATAAAATATGATCTTGGCCAAAATTAATAAAATTTAACATAAATTCTTCTTTTACTTCAGGCAAGTATCGCAAGGTTCAAAACTCGATGAATAATGGGATCACCTCTTTATTATTTTTACTTAATACCATATTTTTGTATAGGGGAGAGTTCAATACTATGACGTGCGCCTAACACATACATCATGCATTGCACTTTCACCATTAAATCAAAGCCATGTAGGTTTTTTCTCTCTCATTATTATATGGATTTTATGAAAGAAGTTTAAAGGTCTTTTGATATATTTTGATTTTAGGCCACTGATTTAGTTGAGATCACTGTCCTACGTACATGTTGTTCAACCAACTTCATTCACATTTGATAACTAAATAACACATTCACTGCATTTAATGTTTTTGTTCATTGTTGTCTTATTTATATTGAGACTATAAAATTTGATTGAGATATGGACAAGTGGCTCAAGAGGGAGGTTAGTAAATCTTTGATTAAGGCCCTCGAGATTGTGAGGCCCCAAAAAATTTTAAAATTAGATTTTATGATTTTATTTTAGGTTAGACAATATTAAAGTTTGTAGAAAAATTAAAAATAATTGTAAAAATAAAGAAAGACTGTCTACTAACAGTAAGAAAATTTGAGAACTTTGAATTAACTACTTAAATCTTCATATTAATGGATATATAACTTTTTTCAATTTATTTTAAAATATTATATTATAAACTAACTCTTTTGCATGTGTGTAGATGCATATATGAATTCTAATACAAAAGGTATAAAGCCTCTTATTTATCGAGCCACTCTTGTTTCCCACCATCTTCACAATGTTCCACAGTAGGTTGATAAAGCACGCACTATCCTTATATTTTATAGTAGTTTGACTATGTCCCACAGACTTTTGTACTGGAATTGTTTTTAAATGCTCCTTGACAGTTGTATAATGAATTTTGGGATATTACAGATAATTTATTACGTTTTTAGACTTCAGTTATATTGAGATGTTAGTATATCAAGATCTATTTTATGGCTCCATTTATTATATGCACTTTAAATTGGTTAAACGATAATGGATCATCTGGTGAGTAGTGGCTCATAAATAATGAGATGCCAATCACGGCATATGTTTTCAGTAGGTGACACCTCCACCATTTTCAAATTTCAACAACTAGAAACCACCACTTTCAGTCGATAAAATAAAATGACTCACTCTCTCTAGTCTAAAAAATAACTTCAGGACACTATCTAATCTTGCTTTGTGGAGTGGTAAGAAAGGTGCACAAATTTTTGTGGAGTTCGGTGATCTGCGTGGATACTTTTGTTTTGAGATTTTTTTTTGTGTGGGTGGTGAAAGTGTGGTTTCATTACTCAAATAGTTATTTAACTATCCGAAATTATCTATTAAAATTATTTTTTTTCATTTGTAATAGCAAAGTCAATTAACTATGTTTATGGCACTCAGAAGGTCACTCAATTAGATTTGTCAAACTTTTGATTGCCTTATATCTATTTTACCCTCTAAATTATTAATTATTTTCTTCAATTGTTG